AATGTGCATACATTTATCACATCTAATATGCTCGGAATGCAGGTCAAACTTCGTTTAATTTAACCGAGTGTATTTGATTAAATTAGTGGTCAAAATAAAAAACAGCACTAATAAGAGTAATTTTAAAGTGGTTACTCAGAGCAGACTCATCTGTAGAAATACTGTTTCCCCCTGAGGGCCCTATAATCGTATTATTACCCCGGATTTTAGGAGACAAGGTTTTTCATTTGCTGTTACAGGAAATAGAAAACTAAGATTTAAAATATGTGAAATAAAAAAACACATGAAGTGAAATACATTTAAGAGGATTTTAATTGTGAATTCTGCATTCAGGAGCATGTTTTAAATGATGACTTAATTTCGTTCAAATACTACACAAAAAACTATTTGAATTTAATTCCAAGAGTAACAGACCAACATAACAAATATGCATATTCATAGCCAGCCATATGTTTTTTTAATGAAATCAATGCAAGGTAGATTGGAGAGACTGATTTACACATGGAAGTTTTAATTATTTTCAAGTGTCATTAATTTTCAACTTATGTTGTTTTCTGATATTTCAGGTTACAGGTGAACCAAATGAAGCTTTAGATTCTTAAAAAAAGAAAGTACTGAATACTTATTTGTATCAATTATAGCACGTTATTATTCAGATGAGAAATGTTTGCATAATCATTCAATTAGTTATGCAAAGAAATCACACAAGACAGTTGTATTTTAATGAGGTCATATTTGTGTAAAGCAAGAAGTGTACATTTGAAGGTCATTGAACTAAATATTATGTATTTTATCTGTTTTTCATTATTCATTGAATGATCTGGAAAGAGGTTACATAATAAACGTTCAACCTTCATACAATATGCAGGGCAAGCTCGGTTTTCCAGTCCCTGCCATACCGTCAATTATACAAGCGCTGTCCCTTACTTAGTCGGACTGCTTCCGCTTTAATACCAAAGAAACTGTTAGGGTTCGATTACGTTTAGATTTTTAAGTGTAATTTATCAGTGCTTCAATGGGCCATTTTCATAATGTCATCAAATTTAATGCACAAACATTATGGCTTGTCCGAACCTAACTACACGGAATGTATGAACTTCTCATCTTGACTATGGGAATAAAATTATGTGTAACAGGGGAATGAAATAGTTTTCAACGAGGCCTTTAACAAAGATGTGTGCATTAAATGCAATGGTATTACGAAAATGGCCAATTGAATAATAGCTTTTATAACAGAGAGTAGATAAGTAGGTCAGAGTTCTTGAATCGCTGTAAATACCTTCCTACTCTTCAGAGTGTCGCCATAATGTAAATAAACTGTCCAAAGTTTAAGTACCTGTGCCTTTTATATTTTTTTGAAGTATGTACTTGTTTTGAATAAATTTTGTCATTTAATATTTGTATCTCCTACGGTCGTTTCATTATTTGATTTTTAGCTGTCTATTTTTCTTCAAATGACGCAGGACTATACACTGTGTATGTGTGTGTGTGGGTGGTCGAGTGTGCGTGTGTGTATACACGTTTGTGTGTACGTACACACATATATATGTTATATAAACATTAAAACCTCAATATAGAGAGCTCTGATATATTAATGTATCTGCTATATAAGGTGATTTTGATGGTCCCAGCTGTCTATATTCTTATCATCATCATCAACTTCAGGTGGCGCTGTAAAATGCTGCTGTGGTCTACACGAGAGCACACCATGCAACTATTTTACCTGCCATTTGTGTTGCACCTGTCATTCCTATAATATAACTAAATTACTGATATTACATGGTAATTTCCCTCGTCTCAAGAACCCCGTGAAAACGACTGTCCATTTTATATATATATATAAAATTATATGAACGATTGATATTGGGCAGGGTAAAACAAAATCTCTGTTGACAAGTTGAGGATAAACTAGATTTTGCCCATAGGGCTTCTTCAAGTTAAGATTTAGAACTGTATAAACTTTATCTTCTCCTATGTAGGGCATATTTTCAAGATGTTGATGGTTCTCCGTCAGAGTCAAACTCTACATCGTGACCTTTGACCCGGCTTCCTCCATTGTCTTAAATCCAGCCAGCACTACTATAAAAAAAAATATAAAAAAAATAAATAAAATAAATGAAAAAATGAGGCAATTTCAAAACAAATTATGTCGCCACCTAAATTATTGCCAACACCATCGAAGTAACGGTCAGAACCAACCGAAATGAAGCTGTGAAACTAAATGGCGACTCTTCGAGGAGCATTGTTGAACAAAAAAAAATGAAACACTGAAAAGACTTAATCGATATTTGAGCCAGAGAAAAGTAAACAGCGCCATCTAATCATCATTGATGAATAACTCGAAGAACAGTATTGCCAGGCAGAAATAATTTTGTTCAGATTGGACACCACAACCGGATTCGATATTGAACAATATTTGTTTCTTAATATTTCAGTCGAAAGAATTGCCGTATGTTTATATTCGCAGTAGGATGTGAGTTGACTCGTCTGATAATCTGAAAAACAAAAGAAAACTCTAAACGATTTTTACATTTGTAATTCTTATTAGCCTATATCTTTACTCTACCATCAACATTCATGTCCAACTTATAGTGACCTCAAATAGCTTCAAACATGAAGCTGAAATACAAGTATGTGCAATAAAGAATGTACACATACTAGACTGTTACTAAATATATGAATCAAAACACTCTGTGACGGCTACAAATGGAAGAGAGGGAGAGATATATATTCTTATAGAAAAAGGGGATGGGAGAGGAAATTAAAAAGATGGATAAATATATAGACGTATATGTTGGGAGATAGATAAAGAGTCAGAGAGATGGAGAGATGAAGACAGATAGAGGGATGAAGAGAGATGTAAAAAGAAAGTGAGATAGAGATATATAGAGAGAGAGAGGGGAAAGAGAGAGATAGAAAGAGAGAAAGAGAGAGAAAGAGAGAGCGAGATGAAGAGAGAAAATGGGGAGGGAGGAAATGAACTAGTATACCGTGTGAGTCAAAAAAAAAGTTTACACCTAGAAAATTGCTAATTATTTTTAAAATCATCTATGTACAGTAAATTATTATACATCTTATAAAAGAGCGTTTTATCCCAAATCATTTGGTAGCATTTTTGTGTTGTATGCTTCCACGCCTGGATGAACAGAAGGCATTGTTTGCGAGAGTGCAAAAATCGACTTGCGCCAAAGTGATGCCTACAGTATGTATTATGTAAGGATTAGCGGAGTGAGAGAATGAATTGAATGTATCAAATGAAATGCATTGTATATGCTTTTTGCAGAAGCAAAGTCACACACACACACACACACACACACGCACAATTATTCATTGATATTTGATATGTGTGGCATGATTAATTTTTGTTAGGGATGTTATCTACAAAGACCGAATTAATACCAAAATCCCAATTATTTAATTCAAATATCACATGAGCAACTTTGGCGCAAGTCGATTTGTGTAATTGTAGATTATTTTTTCTCGCCAAAGTACATTGGTGTCGCGCAGTGGGACTCGAACCGCGAGCCATTTGATCCACAGTCCGATGACGGGTATTTACTATAGACCACGACACCTCGACAAACCATATTTGGTATTTTAGGGATGCATTTTTGGCAAAATATTGAAAAGATCCACTGACAGTGGTCCATGGAAATATCACGTATCATTGTTGAGTTTAAGAATGGTATTAATGCAAGCATTGGTCAAGCTGTAATACACATGAGATTGAACATAAATTAACTTTCTAAAGAATATTTTTTACAGGCGTTTTTAATGATTTTAACGCAGACATTGAATAATACTCATGTTTTTAAATGCTGTTTCCGTAATATTGGACAAACTTGAACTCCTATAAATTATTGCATCACAAAATGCTACCCTAAACAAAAAAAAACCTCTTCCAAATGTGTACATGTTGGAACATTTTTATTACGAGAACATATTCTTCTTTCTCATGTTATGCTAGTCCCCTTTTCTATTTGGCCACCTTGTATAGGTCTATTGTCAACTGTTCATTGAGCCGAGTACAAAAGTAAACAGAATCTAAATTCAAGTCATATTTCCATTTCTACAATATTCCATTTTGAGGAAGCAGCTAGCATAATTCACACGCGAATGACGGTTGAGTGCGTTAGGGTCACACTGCAATATAGCTGCGTACATTGTAGGCTGTACTAAACGTCATATCATACATGCTTCCTATGAGATCGCGCTGGTTTTTTGTATTTCGGAATAACAGCATTGCCATATCTGTAGGCCTAGACCGCCTATACACATTCGAGATTTGACTACGTTGAGGAGGTGACGGATATGTGACATTAATGGGATAATGAAAGACCGTCGTGTTTATTCGGAAATGGAGCGTACCTATGCAGCTGATATGAACAATTAATAGAATATATAATGAAAAGAAGTGATCTCTTACAGGACAAGACAAATCACGCGGTCTAAATGACGTTTGCAGGCACATTAATTCATTGCAAGCCGTAATACTCAGAGCAGATAAGAAGCGGCACGGTATACCTATCTTAAGATCTTCATGTCTTCAGCTGTAATACAGTTATTCTATATAGTTGAGGAGGTGATGGATATGTGAAATTGATGGGATAATGAAAGACCATCATGCTAATTCAGAAATGGAGCGTACCTATGCAGCTGATATGAACAATTAATAGAATATATAATGAGAAGAAGTGATCTCTTACAGCTCGGGCAAGACAAATCACGCGGTCTAAATGACGTTTGCAGGCACATTAGACCATTGCAAGCCGTAATACTCGGAGCAGATGACAAGCGGCACGGTACAGCCTATGAATATCTATTTTCGTTCCATATCTTGGAGTCGTTTGGGCCGAGAATGAAATAGACATAATGACACAGATTCTCAATAACTTCATGTATTCAGCTGTAATACAGTTCTAGTTGATCAAATAGCACGAACTTTAGTTATAATAGTCTAGAAATTATAGGGAGACACTCAGATCAGTTAAATTCTTATCATGGATGGGGACACGATTCAAAGAAAAGACCTTTCTGAGGCTGAACATGATGATTTGGCATCTCTCCATGCAGCAGCATCCAATGGTCACCTCGATGTTGTACAGGTTCTCATTGGCGAAGGAGCAGATATAAACATGGCTGATAATGATGGCAAGACACCTCTCTACGCAGCATCCTTTAATGGTCACCTCGACGTTGTACAGTTTCTCATTCGACAAGGAGCAGATCTAAATAGGGCTGATAAAGATGACAGGACACCTCTCTACGCGGTATCATCCAACGGTCACCTCGATGTTGTAGAGTTTCTCATTGGCCAAGGAGCAGATTTAAATAAGGCTAGTAAAGATGGCCGGACACCTCTCTACATGGCATCATTCAATGGTCACCTCGATGTTGTACAATTTCTCATTGGCCAGGGAGCAGATCTAAAAAGGGCGGACAAAAATGGCTGGACACCTCTCTACATGGCATCATTCAATGGTCACCTCGATGTTGTACAGTTTCTTATTGATCAAGGAGCAGATCTTAAAAGGGAGGATAAGGATGGCAGGACACCTCTCTACGCGGCATCATTCAATGGTCACCTCAATGTTGTACAGTTTCTTATTGATCAAGGAGCAGATCTTAAAAGGGAGGATAAGGATGGCAGGACACCTCTCTACGCAGCATCATTCCATGGCCATCTTGATGTTGTACAGTTTCTTATTGGTCAAGGAGCAGATCTAAAAAGGGCGAATAAAATTGGTATGACACCTCTCCACAAGGCATCGGCAAACGGTCAGTTCGATGTTGTACAGTTTCTCATCGGCCATGGAGCAGATCTAAAAAGTGTAAGTACCAATGACAGTACACCTCTAGAAATGGCATCTCTCAAAGGTCACCTCGATGTTGCAGAGTTTCTCATCGGCCAGGGAGCAGATTTTAAGAGGGCGGATAAAAATGGCAGCACACCTCTCTACGCGGCATCCTTTGAGGGTCATCTCGATGTTGTACAGTTTCTAATTGACCAAGGAGCAGATCTTAATAGGGGTAGTAATGATGGGAGCACACCTCTAGCAATTGCATCATTCAAAGGTCACCTCGATGTTGTACAGTTTCTTATTGGACAAGGTGCACATCTAAATAGTGCTAGTAAGGATGGAAGGACACCTCTCCATGCGGCATCAGCAAACGGTCACCTCGATGTTGTACAGTCTCTTATTGGTCAAGGAGCAGATGTTAAAAAGACGGATAAGGATGCCAGGACACCTCTCTACGCGGCATTAGGAAACGGTCACCTCGATGTTGTACAGTTTCTCATCGGCCAGGGAGCAGATCTTAAAAGGACGGATAAAGATGGCTGGACACCTCTCTACATGGCATCATTCAATGGTCACCTCAAAGTTGTACAGATTCTTATTAGTCAAGGAGCAGATCTAAAAGGGGCGGATAAGGATGGAAGGACACCTCTCCACGCGGCATCAGCAATCGGTCACCTCGAAGTTGTACAGTTTCTCATTGGCCAAGGAGCAGATTTAAATAGTGCTAGTAATGATGGCAGTACACCTCTAGAAATGGCATCTTCCAACGGTCACCTCGACGTTGTACAGTTTCTCATTTGCCACGGGGCAGATCTTAATAGTGTGGATAAAGTTGGCCCGACACCTCTCTACACGGCATCACTCAAAGGTCACCTCAAAGTTGTACAGATTCTTATTGGTCAAGGAGCAGATCTAAAAGGGGCTGATAAGGATGCCAGGACACCTCTCTACGCGGCATCATTAAATGGTCACCTTGAAGTTGTACAGTTTCTCATTGGCCAAGGAGTGGATCTAAATAGTGCTTGTAATGACGGCAGAACACCCCTCTTCGTCGCATCATCCAATGGTCACCTCGATATTGTACAGTTTCTCATTGGCCAAGGAGCAGATCTAAATACTGCTAGTAATGATGGCAGTACACCTCTAGAAATGGCATCACTCGAAGGTCACCTTGATGTTTTACAGTTTCTCATTGGCCAAGGAGCAGATCTAAATAGTGTGGATAAAGATGGTATGACACCTCTCTTCACGTCTTCATTCAATGGTCACCTTGATGTTGTAGAGTTTCTTATTGGCTTAGGAGTGGATCTCAATATTGCTTGTAATGACGGCAGAACACCCCTCTTCGTCGCATCATCCAATGGTCACCTCGATGTTGTACAATTTCTCATGGGCCAAGGAGCAGATCTAAAAGGGGTGGATAAGGATGGAAGGACACCTCTCCACGCGGCATCAGCAAACGGTCACCTTGAAGTTTTACAGTTTCTCATCGGCCAAGGATCAGATTCAAATAGTGCTAGTAATGATGGCAGTACACCTCTAGAAATGGCATCACTCGAAGGTCACCTTGATGTTGTACAGTTTCTCATTGGCCGAGGAGCAGATCTAAATAGTGTGGATAAATATGGTATGACACCTCTCTTCACGTCTTCATTCAATGGTCACCTCGATGTTGTAGAGTTTTTCATTGGCCAAGGAGTGGATCTAAATAGTGCTTGTAATGATGGCAGAACACCCCTCTTCGTCGCATCATCCAATGGTCACCTCGATGTTGTACAATTTCTCATTGGCCAAGGAGCAGATCTTAATAGGGGTAGTAATGATGGGAGCACACCTCTAGCAATTGCATCATTCAAAGGTCACCTCGATGTTGTACAGTTTCTTATTGGACAAGGTGCACATCTAAATAGTGCTAGTAAGGATGGAAGGACACCTCTCCATGCGGCATCAGCAAACGGTCACCTCGATGTTGTACAGTCTCTTATTGGTCAAGGAGCAGATGTTAAAAAGACGGATAAGGATGCCAGGACACCTCTCTACGCGGCATTAGGAAACGGTCACCTCGATGTTGTACAGTTTCTCATCGGCCAGGGAGCAGATCTTAAAAGGACGGATAAAGATGGCTGGACACCTCTCTACATGGCATCATTCAATGGTCACCTCAAAGTTGTACAGATTCTTATTAGTCAAGGAGCAGATCTAAAAGGGGCGGATAAGGATGGAAGGACACCTCTCCACGCGGCATCAGCAATCGGTCACCTCGAAGTTGTACAGTTTCTCATTGGCCAAGGAGCAGATTTAAATAGTGCTAGTAATGATGGCAGTACACCTCTAGAAATGGCATCTTCCAACGGTCACCTCGACGTTGTACAGTTTCTCATTTGCCACGGGGCAGATCTTAATAGTGTGGATAAAGTTGGCCCGACACCTCTCTACACGGCATCACTCAAAGGTCACCTCAAAGTTGTACAGATTCTTATTGGTCAAGGAGCAGATCTAAAAGGGGCTGATAAGGATGCCAGGACACCTCTCTACGCGGCATCATTAAATGGTCACCTTGAAGTTGTACAGTTTCTCATTGGCCAAGGAGTGGATCTAAATAGTGCTTGTAATGACGGCAGAACACCCCTCTTCGTCGCATCATCCAATGGTCACCTCGATATTGTACAGTTTCTCATTGGCCAAGGAGCAGATCTAAATACTGCTAGTAATGATGGCAGTACACCTCTAGAAATGGCATCACTCGAAGGTCACCTTGATGTTTTACAGTTTCTCATTGGCCAAGGAGCAGATCTAAATAGTGTGGATAAAGATGGTATGACACCTCTCTTCACGTCTTCATTCAATGGTCACCTTGATGTTGTAGAGTTTCTTATTGGCTTAGGAGTGGATCTCAATATTGCTTGTAATGACGGCAGAACACCCCTCTTCGTCGCATCATCCAATGGTCACCTCGATGTTGTACAATTTCTCATGGGCCAAGGAGCAGATCTAAAAGGGGTGGATAAGGATGGAAGGACACCTCTCCACGCGGCATCAGCAAACGGTCACCTTGAAGTTTTACAGTTTCTCATCGGCCAAGGATCAGATTCAAATAGTGCTAGTAATGATGGCAGTACACCTCTAGAAATGGCATCACTCGAAGGTCACCTTGATGTTGTACAGTTTCTCATTGGCCGAGGAGCAGATCTAAATAGTGTGGATAAATATGGTATGACACCTCTCTTCACGTCTTCATTCAATGGTCACCTCGATGTTGTAGAGTTTTTCATTGGCCAAGGAGTGGATCTAAATAGTGCTTGTAATGATGGCAGAACACCCCTCTTCGTCGCATCATCCAATGGTCACCTCGATGTTGTACAATTTCTCATTGGCCAAGGAGCAGATCTAAAAGGGGCGGATAAGGATGGAAGGACACCTCTCCACGCGGCATCAGCAAACGGTCACCTCGATGTTGTACAGTTTCTCATCGGCCAGGGAGCAGATCTTAAAAGGACGGATAAAGATGGCTGGACACCTCTCTACATGGCATCATTCAATGGTCACCTCAAAGTTGTACAGATTCTTATTGGTCAAGGAGCAGATCTTAAAAGGACGGATAAAGATGGCTGGACACCTCTCTACTTGGCATCATTAAATGGTCACCTCAAAGTTGTACAGATTCTTATTGGTCAAGGAGCAGATCTAAAAGGGGCGGATAAGGATGGAAGGACACCTCTCCACGCGGCATCAGCAATCGGTCACCTCGAAGTTGTACAGTTTCTCATTGGCCAAGGATCAGATTTGAATAGTGCTAGTAATGATGGCAGTACACCTCTAGAAATGGCATCACTTGAAGGTCACCTTGAAGTTGTACAGTTTCTCATTGGCCAAGGAGCAGATCTAAATAGTATGGATAAAGATGGTATGACACCTCTCTTCACGTCCTCATTCAATGGTCATCTCGATGTTGTAGAGTTTCTCATTGGCCAAGGCGTGGATCTAAATAGTGCTTGTAATGATGGCAGAACACCTCTCTTCGTCGCAGCATCCAATGGTCACCTTGAGGAGGTACAGTTTCTCATTGGCCAAGGAGCAGATATAAATTGGGAAGATAAGGATGGAAAGACACCTCTCCTAGCGGCATCTCTCAAAGGTCACCTCGATGTTGTACAGTTTCTTATTGGCCAAGGAGCAGATCTAAAAGGGGCGGATAAGGATGGAAGGACACCTCTCCTAGCGGCATCACTCAAAGGTCACCTCGAGGTTGTACAATTTCTTATTGGAAAAGGAGCAGATCTAAAGAGGGTGGATAAAGATGGCAGGACACCTCTACACACGTCATCATCAACCGGTCACCTCGATGTTGTACAGTTTCTTATTGGTCAAGGAGCAGATATTAAAAGGAAGAAAAGGGATGGAAGAACTCCTCTCTACGCAGCATCATTCCATGGCCATCTTGATGTTGTACAGTTTCTCATTGGCCAAGGAGCAGATCTGAATAGGCATGGTAATGATTTGAGCACACTTCTAGAAGCAGCATCACTCAAAGGTCATCTCGATGTTGTACGGTTTCTCATTAGCCAAGGAGCAGATCTAAATAGTGCAGGAAGTGATTTAAGCACACTTCTAGAAGCGGCATCATCCAACGGTCACCTCGATATTGTACAGTTTCTCATTGGCCAAAAAGCAGATCTTAACAGGGCTGGTGTTTGTCAGGGGCAAACGCCTCTCCAAGCGGCATCATTCAACGGTCACCTCGATGTTGTACAGTTTCTTATTGGCCTAGGAGCAGATCTAAATAGGGTTGGTACAGATGGCAGCTCACCTCTAGAAGTGGCATCACTCAAAGGTCACGTCGATGTTGTAAAGTTTCTCATTGGCCAAAATGCAGATATAGATAGGGCTGGTATGTTTGGATGCACACCTCTCCAAGCAGCATCACTAAAAGGTCACCTCGATGTTGTACAGTTTCTCACTGGCCAAGGAGCAGATCTGAATAGGACTGGTAATAATGGCATGACACCTCTTCAAGCGGCATCACTCAAAGGTCACCTCGATGTTGTACAGTTTCTCACTGACCAAGAAGCAAATCTAAATGGGGCCAGCTTTGGTGGGCGCACACTTCTCCACGCGGAGTTTATCGATACGGGTTAGTTAAGTTGGTATTTTGTACGATCCGGCTTATTTCCTGTACATCTCTTTCACATTTCCTGTTTATAATTCATAACAATTATCATTCAATTATGAAAATATCTGAATCAAATGTTGAGATTTGAAATTTAAGGGGAGATGAACACTACGTTGGTGGTAGATTAAATGGCATTCCATTGAGCTGGCATAGTCACATTCCAACCTCCTTTGAATTAACATCATAGACTTATATAAGTCTTTATCATTAGTGATTAATGTATTTTATTGCAACTAATCAAACCCGAGGAAATCCGTGGACAGCCGGAGCTTTTCAGTAATTATTTTTAAAATCTGAAATATGTCAGGTTCAGATCGATCGAAAGAGACAGGTCGAGAACAAAAGGAGGGGATTGGCCACGGGGAACACTGACAATACAACACATTATATGATTTACAATATGCTTTAGAAAGTACATACAATTTTACGATGCCAGGTTGCGCAAGGCCAGGACTGTGAAAGGCTATCACGATCTTTCATGGAATGGAAACCACGACGTACTGTACACGTGAAATGATGACCTAATTGGGCAAAAACCTTACGGATTGATTCGAAATCAAATCTTGTTTACATGGGCAATTGAATATGGGTTTAATAGTTATTCAGGCAAACACAATTACGGAAAACCGAAACCAAGCAATATTTTCGAAAACAGCGAATACCGTACGCACAGTGAATATGGAGCCCTCGCCGTTCAGTGCAAGGCAGTGTGTACAAAAGGCATTGAGAAAATTAACCTACTGTTGAAATATATTTTTTCAAAAAGATAATGCTGTTCTTTATTTATGTTAAAAAAACATTGATGATTTGTCTTACAAAATACCTATCAAAAGGCAAAAAAAAGGTAATAAATATATCCATATTGATCATGGACGCCAGACGCATCCCCCCCCCCCCCCCAAAAAAAGAAAACCTTACCGTATTATCTTACGGAAATGCAAGTGTTTTTTTTAAAGCATTTACAGTGAATTAGATGCGTCATAAAAATTTCCATTAAAAAAAAAAAGATGTGAGAACAACCATGACTTAAACCGAAAATAAGTAATTAGGCCTACACGTAGGCCTATATACACTTTAAACAGGAAATCTGTCTTCGGTTGTTTCGTTGTAGATCCAGCCGTTTGTTCACAACAGGAAAGCGGGAGTGTCGAAAAACAGGTGGATAGCGAAGCAAACGTACACACCTCAAAAACAGAACAGCTCAACATAGACTCTGCATCTTCTGAACAGGTCGTACAGGATGTTATTCGTGATTCCATTTGGGCATCCGATCAGCAATCAGGCTTGATTCGAATCGAGAAGTATGGCATTGAAGTCCAGTTTCATCCAAGTGAGATTTGGGGCGTTGATAAAATCCAGCCAGTACCTGAAGTTCCAGCTGAACTGGTAGACATGTTAACGAAGGACCAAGCAATAATTTGTGTTGGCCTTAAGGCGTCACCGTCTGATGCAAAGTTTAAATATCCGGTAAAAGTGACGATGCCCCATTCAGCAATTTTCACAAGTTTCGATAATGCATCTATTGGGACGTACCATCGGAAAAGCAGTAAGATTATTATTATAGCTAATAACTAAATTATTCATACCCTTACCAAGTCTTTGTAATGTCTGAAGTTCGTGAAAAATTGATTTGTCCTGTTTTATGTTTCTTGACAATGTGACGCATACAAGCTTACATGTAAAAGTATTCCAGAAAGGCCTTATTTCAACCAGTCCACTGTTTATTGTTGGGTTAAGAAAAACACAAATATCATTAAATAAACCAGGAGTATGAATAATTTAGTTGTTAACTGCATGTTATTGTTCAGACGCATTAGATTACAAAGTTATCATCATTCAATCACCCATCGCGACATCGAGTGATATATTTAAACTTGCTTCATTAGAAAAAAAATGAGTCCACTTTTAAAAATTGTTGGGTCAATTTAGGGTTTCCCCCCTAATGCAACGAAAGAGGTTTATTTAGTATGAATCTTCAAACTTATATGTATAGATACTAAAATCACATATCTAAGGTGGATGTATCGTTGTTTAAAGCTGCTCTAAAGTAATGATTGCCATCGAGGATGCCTTTTTGAAAATAACCACTCATGGGGTCAGATTTTCTTACACTTTTAGTATATTGTTTTTTTTAATGTCAAACACTACCAGAAACCGTTAAAAGACCTTTGTTGCCTTTTTTTTTTTGGGGGGGGGGGGATTCTCTCCATAAATTGACCCTTATATAAAGCGATACCAACTTTTTGTTTGTTTTGTTTGTTATACGGGGTTGCTAAAAAAAAAGCAGCTTCCGAGGACTGCAAAATCAACAGAAAAATTATATAATATCATCAATTTCGATGTAAGGGGTTTGTTTTTTACACTTGTTGTGAGAAACCGTTAAATTTCTCTCTGCTTCAAGCATGACTACTTTTTTTCTTCTTTTAAAGAGTTATTAGTTGGGGGTGATCAATCGTATAACGGAAATCGGTGGTACAAAGCTGGGGTACTCCTTCTCCCCGTCGCTTCTGCGTTGTCTTACATTTGTTATTTTGTATATACTTTGCTTTGTTTTAGATTTTTCAAACAAGAACAAATTGTGATTACGCATATGTCTGTTGTTTTTAATTTAAAGGCTCCGACAGTTTTTCGTTGATTGCCGCTGCCAATGGTGACCCTCGATGTGTTGTTAGAGAGCGAGACCTTGACCTCTATATCTCTCACTTCTCTGAATGGTGGATTGTTGCCTTCATCACTAAGGTATTCGTGGGCAAGCGTGTCATCTGTACGCCTTTCGTACCCGAACTGAGTCCTATGAACACTAAGCATCTGTTGAGGCTCTGCATTAGAGACAGTAACCAAGGGAAAGCGGAGGTATGAACGGGGAGGGGTATTGCGACCTTGGTCTGTAAAAACGCGTCATATTACGCACATAAACCTAGGTTTGTCGGCGAACCTCCTTTGTGTATTCGGGCCAATTTGTTTAAAGACTAGTAAAGTACTTATGTCATATTCGCTTTTCGTCCAGGTTACTGGTTCAGAACAACAGAGCCTGCGTATGAGGTTCACCGCAAAATGACTAGCAACGTGGGCTGGAGCACGGCAAATAGACCATGTTCATATTGTAATGAAGTGTTATGCGTCAAGTGCCATGTAACAAATGATTTAATTCACCTGTTAGGAATAATTTAGTTCAATAGTCAGAGTATAAATGTCATACATTACTTGATGATAGGACAAACATCATAGCTTATCCTGTCTTGTCCTACAATACGGAACGCTTGCAATAGTCAATTTTCGTAATGTAACTAAATTTAATACATACGTCTTTGAGAAGTGCATCGATACAAATCTCATTCACCTGATAAGAATAATAGTGTTTCAATAGACATAATCCAAACTGCATACATTAGTTGTTGCCAGGTTGGACACGCATTATGGCTTGCCATACCTAGCAACACTTAATATATGCAGCTTGTATTCTGACTATTGAAATACTATTATTCTTATCGGGTGAATGCAATAATTTGTATTTAGGAACTTTAGGAACTGTTTTATTGCACCACCCCCCCCCCCCCATCTTCTTGTTTTTCTTTCTGGTCCCCATGGAAGACGAGCTGCTCTACAGTGCAGCTGAAAATGGGCTACCCAGTCGTTTGTTTTCTCTGTCTTCTTGTTTATTTTATTTCATTTTTGGGGGGCTCTTTTCCAAATATAATAACTGAATGATAAAGAACATATAAACGAATAATACGAAATTCACAAACAATACAAATTTCATGTCAAAACGTTTACATGTAGTTTACATATGTTCATATAGTAACAAAACTTAATATTTCTATAACATATTATTATATATTTTAAGTGTTATCCAAACTATCTGTTAAAAAAGAGCAGGAGATCGCAATCAAAAGCGATGGTTGACTAGGATGACGGCCTCAAAAACAAATCTTAAGGTAAAACTTAAAATGAAAAATGAAGTGTTTAAACGTTATCCTTCTTCCGTTCTCAATGTTGTCTTTTTTAATTTTGTTTTCAATTTAATGCCATGTAATTTTCTTGCTTATGTAAAGTGTAAGCTGTATATTATGTATAAGATTGGGCTACCTTCTTTTCATTGAACATATATATTCTTTTATATCATACAAAAATCAGCCTGAACCAGGATACGTGACACCGATAAAGGGAGAAGAGTATTTTGTGGCATGGCGTTCTGGTGATCTTAAAGTAACCTGTCAGGTAGACGACAAGGAAATATACACCAAGGCAAGTTAATATAAATGCTTATTAGTTACAACGACAAACCAACTCAGAATTCACTGATCGATTTGTTGGCTATTCAGAGCAATGTATTTGTTTGGTTGGTGCGATGTCGGTCTGTATGATAGTTCCATAGCGTATTGAGAGACATAGTTGTGACACGCGGACACGTACGTGATCAAATGTTAAATCATGGAGCTGTTACTAGTTCCCTCCAAAACACAATCTCTTTATAGAAGGGAACTTATTTGGAGCACACCCACCTCTCTCAATACTGTGATGGGGGTATACTTGAGAGGGAAAACAAGTAGTTATGCCATTTTTCTAACCGTAACAGTTGAATGAAAATTTACATTACAATTAAAGTTACTCGATTATATTATATGAATGTTCATGTATTCTGTCAAATATATGCAACATTTCATACTAAAGGTGTATTAATTTGATATCGCGTATCAATAGAATAATGATAATAATAATATTGTTTATTTAGCATCGCTCGACGATAGTGTGTGTGCGTGTTTTGTTGCGACGAGAGATGTGTGTGTGTGCGTGTGCGTTTGATTACTCCATCATTTTGACAGGGGATCAAAAACACTTTATGTATATAGGATGATACCTACGGGATCTAATGGAGACACATGTAACACCTTTAAACTGTAGCCTTGCAGAGGAAAAGATAATCTTATATTAGTCAAATTAGTCCGGCAGCCAAATCCAGATTATTGGCCTAACCTTGTTTTATGGTCTATATTTTTTTTTTCAATGGATTTTGATTGCCTAGACCTTCTATTTCAAGAATCCGATTGCTGACACTCTGTCAGCCTTGAGCAATTTAAGATATATGACGTCATACAAAATGGCCGCCAAAGTACATGATTTTCCTTTAAAAATGAATAATAAATATATAATAAGGATTTTTTTTCTTCAATTTTTGGCATCCAAATGTCTGTATCTCTCTAGGACCATCACTAAAAATATGTTTCGTGGTGTTGCATGGCCAGAGATGACCAGCTTATTTGCATATTTTGAAATAGCGCCCTCTATAAACATATTAATTTGAATAAAATATGTGTGTCAGCCAAATGCCAATTTCTTAAATCTATGTCACGTTGAAATCATATTAAATGCTTTTTGGGGGAAACAATTGCAGTTGTGCTGCATTAATCTTTCATCGTGTTTGGTACACATTTAGATAGGGTAGGTGTGGGGAATGGAAGACCCTTAAGCACATTTGCATAATTTACATAAACATGAACAATGTTACACATACAGACATTTTTGTATTCTCTTTAGTATTTTTTCTCTTTATTTGGTAACGAAATTGTGGTGATGATGTAACTGATTAATAAGATAACAATGATTAATGACGTCATCACCAAAGGTCTCTCATTACCTACATGTGTAGGTAATAAGGGACAGTTACAAATCAAGACATTTTAAATACAATTTGAATGAAAATGGGATTGTTATAGTTAGTTCAAACACTTTTTGAATGATATACATGCAGCCAATGAACTGTAATTTTGAAACGATTTTAAAACAATGGGGCGCAAAATATTTCTGTAGTTTTTTGTTTACCGTAATAAAGGTGCTCTCAAATATGTTAAAATACTTTCAGAATAATGTTCTGGCAATATGACTTTTACATTTATCAAACTCACAGCATAGAAACAACTTCTTAAAATTAAATGCATTCAAATTAGAATGGTGACACGTACAACCAAATATGTTTCATGATAGTGCCTTTCAACATGAAATGAACGACTGGGGAGAAGTAGGCCCCCATCTTGGACCTGGTGTCCCCCATTACCTACACACATTTCTGATCAGACACCATTCATAATGTGAATTGCAACACCCATTCACAACACACAGTGGCCATAAACTTTCTGTGATGGTTGGCACATTTCATAAACTTCCTTTTACATTTTTTTTTTTAAGGGCCACCCCTAAATATCTGCATACACC